ACTGACTTCTGAAAGGAGCGCTGATTTAGCGCTCCTTTCAGAGGCGCCGACGGTACACCGCGGTGCGGATGCCGCGGTCCCGTGGCGCACCGTCCCACAGCGTCCCGGACGCCCTCGTCTGCTTCCCCCCTAAGTCTAGTGTGCTTCAGATGTGTTGGCCATTTTGTCTGAGGATGAAAGAGATTGTGATACAACAATTATGGAGAGCACTAGCTTGAGAAAGTCTGTACCAGAGCAATATACCATAACCCTTAAAGTGGACTCAATTTGCACTATTTCTGGCAGTCTGCAAAGGCCCATAGACATATGGCAGGTAGAAAGAGGAACCATTTGTCACCTACAACATTGAAGACAATATCCAGTAGTTCAGGGCTAGCCCAAGATGTTATGCTGTTGGAGGTAAAATATAAGATGCATTCATTTGATGTACAGGAGGCAAATGAGTACAGCTGAATGAGTACCAACATATTATGCCACACAAAAAAGCAGTAACAAGTGCAGGGCTACCTGGGGGTGCATACAGTTTTTCCCTCTAAAAGATGAGCCAGGTATCTGTCATGACTGCTCCAAATCAACTGAACAAGTTGGTTGCCTCACTCTGCTTCATTGTAGAACCAGCTCAGAAATAATCTCCACTTTAACAGCCACTTTGCACAAGGCTAAAGGAAGAGAATTGCAGTCTGGGACTGAGATATACAGATGATAATGATTTGAATAATGAAGAAATACAATATCTCAGCAACAGAAATGCAACTGTTTGAGGGAAAGGTATGTAGACTGTGCCTTACAATTAGTAATTTGAAAAATTACTAATATTCCAAATGTATTTCTCTGAGACAATGAATGCAACAGCAAAAAATTAAAAAAAATTGCACCCCCTTGAATGCTGAAAATATAGAGTAAGAATTAGAAGGTTTCATTTTAACAGCTGTCAAATCGATTTCAACTACTGATGACCCATGAAAGAGAGACCTCCAACTCAGCCTACCATCAACACCTCTGCTCAGATCTTGCAGGCTCAGACCCCTGGCTTCCTTGATTGAATCTATCCATCTATAGTGTGGTTGTCCTGTTTTCCTACTACATTATATCTTGCCAAGCATTATTGTTTTTTCTAGTGAGTCATGTCTTCTCATATGTCAAAAGTCTGACAATCTTTTTAGTTTAGTCATCTTGGTTCCTAGGGAGAGTCCTGGCTTAATTTGCTCCAGGATGCATTTGTCCTTCTAGCATGCCACAATATCTGTAGTACTCTTCTCCAGTACCATGTGAAATGGGTGGATTTTCTTCCTAGCAGTTTTCTTCACTGTCCAGCTTTCACAACCATATATATACATTGGAAATATGACGACATGGACAATTCTAACTTTCGCATTCAATGATATATCTTGATACTTCAGAATTTTGTCTAGTTCCTTCATATTTACCTTTTCAAGTCCTATTCTTCTTCTGATTTCTTAACTGCAGTTCACATTCTGATTAACGACTGAGCCATGGTGTGGAAAATCTTGAACTATTTAAATGTTTTCATTGTCCACTTTAAAGTTATGTAAATCACCTGTGGTCATTCTTTTTGTTTTCTTCATGTTCAGCTGTAAACCTACCTTTGCAATTGCTTTCTTGAATTTCTTCAGTAATTGTTCCAAGTATTTTCTATTTTCTGCTAATATATCATCTGCATATCTTAAACTGTTTATGTTCCTTCCACCAATTTTCACGCCTCCTTCCTCTGAGTCTAATCCTGCTTTGCGTATGATATGTTTAGCATACAAGTTAAATAGAAAGGATTATAAAAGGCACCATTGCTTGACCTCCTTGCCAGTTGGAAACCATTCTGTATATCTTTATTCTGTCATGACAGTAGTCTCTTGTCCCACGTCCCAACACATCAGAACAATCAAATGTTATGGCACACCCATTTCTTTATGAGAAATCTGTAGGTCTACAAAAGTCTTTGCTATAATCTATAATATACAGGCTGGTTTTCTTCTGAAATTCCTTGGAGCACTCCATTATCTGAAGTTCTTTGCAGTAAGATCTCTAGTGCCTCTTCCTTTCCTGAACATCTTGGACATCTTGCATTTCTTGTTCTTTATATGGTAAAAGTCTTTATTGTAGAATTTTGACCACAACTTGGCTTACATGAGAGGTTACTGCAATGGTCCTGGGATTACTAAAATCCCTGGTACCCCTTTCTCTGAGTGAGCATCTAGAACAACTCATGAAACAGGGAGACTGTAAGCGTTTAGAAAATAATGTCAGAATTGCTAAAAGTTAACATGCCAAACTAATCTGATCTCAATCTCTCTCTTTCTCTCTCTCTCTCTCTTGGATAAAATTACCAGCTTGGTAGATGAAGGGAATGCTGTGGATGTCGCATATCTTAATTTCAGTAAGACCTTTGACAAGGTCCCCCACAATATCCTGGCAAACAAGCTAGTAAAATGTGAACTAGATAATGTAACTGTTAGGTGGATTTGCAATTGGTTGTCTGGCCAAGCCCAAGAGGTGTTCAGCAATGGATTCTCTTCATCCTGAAAATAAGTGAGCAGTGGAGTGTCACAGGGTTCTATCCTGAGCCCATTGCTATTCAACATCTTTATTAATTACTTGGATGAAGGACTAGAGGGCATGCTTGTTAAATTTGCTGATGACACTAAATTAGGAGGAGTAGCTGATACCCCAGAGGACAAGATCAAAATTCAAAATGATCTTAATTGATTAAAAAGCCTATCCAAAACTAACAAATGAATTTCAACAAGGAGAAATGTGAGGCACTACAGTTAGGGAGTAAAAAATGAATTACATGGATATAGGATGGGGGACACCTGGCTTAACAAGACTACATGTGAAAGTGATCTAGGAGTTGTAGTAGACTACAAGTTGAACATGAGTCAGCAGTGTGATACAAGAATTAAAAAAGCCAATGCGATCCTAAGCTGCATCAATAGAAGTATAGTGTATAGGTCAAAGGAAGTAATAGTACCACTCTGTTCTGCTTTGGCCTCACCTGGAATACTGTGTCAAGTTCAGGACACCATAAAATTCAGAAAGGATGTTGGTGCCAAAGGATTATGCATTCCTGCATGGCAAGGGGTAGGATTTGGTGGGCCTTGAGGTCTCATCCACTCCTTGATTTTATGAGTCTATGAGTTTGGCTTCCACTTCACTTTCTAAAATTGGAGGTTCATCTTCAAATTGCAGGTTTCTTCACAAGGGGTTTGCCATTGCCATCCTCTGAGGCTGAGAGTGTGTGATTTGCCCAGGGTCACTCAGTGGGTTTTCATGGCTATGCCAGGATTCAAACCCTGGTCTCCAGATTCATAGTCCAATAGTCAAACCACTACACAGACTTTCTCTTCCCATTGCTTTACCTGCTCCCTTCTCCTGGGTTTGGGTCACATCCAGTCACCTGAAGCTTTTCTATTCTAATTCAACTTTATTTTAAAGAGTGTGATTATACTAGGCCAGTAGTATACTGCCTACAGACAGTGCCATTGGACCATTATTGTTTACTTCCACTGACCACTTCAATTCATACTATAGCTATTAGTGTAAAAGTTTTTGTGTATATTTGCTTCCCTGCAGGCTAGTTCCTGTTTACAGTACTTACCAATCTAGTAATTAACACTTTATCATGGATATGTAAGTCATTTGTTGCACCATAACATCATATCCTTCTGGTTTAGTAATATTTCTCACTCATTTAACAGGCAAAAATACTCATCATCCAAGCAGCCCAATTTAATTATGTTTCATTATACCACTAACTTTTTTTGCACCATTATCAAGAACAAGTGACCAGAAGAACCTGAGCAGTATTTTGTTTCCAAATGGGATAATGATGACAGAATATCCACTAAATGATGAGGTAGGGATTTCATTGCCTGTTTTTTGTTATGTAATGTTTCTGAAGATATGTGTGGGATGTGAGTATAATATAAAACTCACTCTGATCTTCAGCTAGACATTACATTACACTAGTGAAGTATGTGCTATAATAATTTAGAATGAATCTTCACTGATGTATCAGTCCTCTTAAATGACAATAAACAACCTTGTGGCACCTTAAACACAACAAAACATCAGTAGCTTCCATGAACAACAAGATGTGATAACATGGGTTCTAGTCCTGATTGAATCCATCCATCTGGTATGTAGCCTTCCTCTTTTCCTACTGCCTCCACTTTCATGGAGAAACTTTCATGCAGTGGTGTCAGTAGGGTTGGTGTCATGTAATGGTTTAGTAATGTTTTTTGTACTATTGTTACTCATTAACTGTAATTCCTGCATATAGTTGTGACATAAAACTAGTAGCAAAATTAAAATTATACTTTTAAATTATAATATCATACGTACTGCTTCAATGCATTTAAGTATGCATTGGTTGAAGTGAAAATTTAGTAAAAGGTGATGTTTTAATTTATGATTGTTTACTAATTTTTTAAGGTTTGTGATTTTCTTGTATTGTATTGTAAGCTTATGCTTAATTTTAATGCTGTAAGCCGCCCTGATTGCTTTGCAGAGGGGCGGGATATAAATTATTATTATTATTATTATTATTATTATTATTATTATTATTATTATTATTATTATTATGTTTTTAAAGATTTTTGATAAATACTTTTTTAAACAATAAAATTTTAAATGGGGACCTCTCCTTTCTTCTCCCATTCAGCCTCCTCCCACTCACACCATCTCTTCAGCATTTTGATGGGACGCAGGTGAATACCTCAACCCATTTGTGCCAAAAGGAGATGTTTGAGGAACAGCGGTGTCACCCAACCTTAGAGTGTCACCTGGTGAAGTCCTCACCCCCTGCATCACCATAATGATGCCACTGGATAGAAGGAGTATTCTTTTTGTCATTGCTGTGTGTCTTCAAATCATTTCTGACTTACGGCAACCCTAAGCCAAGATTTGTTCAGAGTGAGTTTGCCTTTTCTGTCCTCTGAGGCTGAAAGAATGTGCCTTGCCCAAGATCATACAGTGGATTTCCATGTCCAAGCAGGGATTTGAACCCTTGTCTCCAGTGTTGTAGTTAAAATGCTCAAACCACTATACCACATTGGCTTTCTGGGGTATGCTGTACTTTTGTTCTTTTATAATGTTTTGAAAAATGTGTTTTAAACTTTTAAAAAACAGAGTTTTCAATAGGATTGCTTATCTGATTATTTTTGAAACTTTTTTATTAATCAGTTTTCAGATGTACTTTCTTTTAATTTAGATTGTAAGTTACTTTGGGTCCCATGCCAGGAGAATGGTGGGATATAAAATAGAGAGAAAGAGAGAGAGAGCACTAATTAGAAACTGGAGCCAAAGTTCAGCTTTAAAAGATATTACCAAAAACAAAATCATTAACGAGTATGAAAATAAGATTTGTTTTATTCTCTGACATGGATTTATGAAAATAATTTAATTGTTTCAAGACATGTTGCTGAATTCTTTGCTACTACCAAGGAAAAATAATGCAATTTCCACTTCATTCGAAATGTACATGTACAGCATCCAGACTTATACCTTCACATTATGAACTCAAGTTTTATGCATTCCTGTTAATACCTGTAACACAGCAGAGATACATTTGTAAAGAAAGCACAAGGATTTATAAATACAGCAAAGCAAAAATGTCAGCTAATCCATTGGATCAAACCACATTTTTAATCAAAGTATTTGGCATGAGAATGAAATAAACTTTGGCTGCCAGAAAGCCTCGTGGCAACAAAAAAAAAAGTGCAGAACAATCCGTGTTAATACTCTTTCAAACAGGTATTGTTAACAATTCACCTTTAACACTGTGAAATCACCTTTCCCTATTGCAGAAATCTAAGGGAGGAATTGCTAAATTGTATCTTTGCAGGCGTACTCCCTCACACCCCCCTTCAGAGCTGTTTATGATCAATGGACAGACCTAACGGAAGAAAGGAAATGGCACAAATATATTACGATGAACTACTATCATATGCTCCCATAAACTTTATGTTTTATCTTTTGAAAAGCTTCTGCTATTTAATAAGATTTAGCCTCTTATTTTTAATCTCATATTGCAGTTGCAAGGAAAACTCTAGTATTGCTCTGGTATGTTACACTGTTGTCATGGATACACAAGTAAGGTACATTACTTCCACTAGTAAATAAAGATCCTGAAAGACTGCCTGGTAGGATTTACTAGCCTTGTAGTATTGTTAGCTGCTGAGAGCTTTAAATAACCAAATGGCTGTGATTTTAAACTAATATGCTAGGTTGAGAGGAAGTGTATGGCTGTGTGTGTGTGTGTTCATTTATATTGTATAAAAATTTTCATGCAATTGCAGAAAATGTTATATTCTGTAACTGTATTGCCCTTGTTTATAATTTAATTTTCTTGAACACTAATTTTTTTAAAACAAAAACAGGATTTGCATATGTCTTTTGATGTCCTGTGGTTCTCAACTCTAAATGTACATAGGATGAGGGGCGGAGATAGGCAGCTGAGCAACAGTGAGTTCACTTTCAATATTCCTATGCATGAGAGCATCATTTAATGCATGTTAACATAAGGAAGCATGGTTCAGTAGGTGCTGAAGCTGAAGTTGACGAGTCATTGGGTTCACCCATTTCAGTGAAAGCAGCAGTCATGATCCTGCTTGAGGGGACAGAGCATAAAGAGTTGTCCCTTTTCACCTCCTTTGAAAACCACTTCTTTTTTGCTGCCTCACCAGCCATATAGTGGCCAGCGAAGAGCAGGGAGCAGCTGAGAAGCATCTATGTCTCTATGTTTAGGGACATAACAATGACATCAGCCTCCAGGGTCTTCCATTACATGTTACAAATGTGTCATGTGTCACCAACAGGATGCCAGTCTGTGTTTTTGCACATGTGAAGACTTGTACCAAGGGGGAAAAACACTTTGCCTTGAGAATCTGCAAATTTGAGAGGCTTACAGGGTGTATCAGTAAAAGAATACACACACAAAATTATGCTTACGTTTGAAAATGTGAATGGCTGAGATGCACCTAGTTGAAAACAGTATGCAAAGGGATCTTGCAGCACCTTTAAGACTAACTGAAATATAGAAGCACCTTTGAGACTACTAAAAGAAAAAAATTGCAGCATGAGCTTTCATATACTTAAGTCATAAACTTACCTCAGATGCATTTGAGGGAAGTCTGAGGAAGTAGACTTCTATGAAAGCTGCTACAAGATCTCTCTATATACTGATTCTACAGACTATACAGCTATATATTTGAAAGATAGAAGGCTATCTTTCTGTTAGTCTCAAAGCTACTGCAAGATCCCTTGCATACTGATTTTCCAGACTAAGGACGTTATCACACGGGGTCTAAAGCAGTGCCATCCCCGTCGCATCCCTGTCCCATTCCGCTTCCTTTTCCCCTGTGTTCACACGACGTCGCAGAGAAACCCCGCCCATCCCCGTCCCATTGCGGTTCTTTTCCCCGTATCTTCACAAAACATTGCACCCATCCCCGTCCCATCCCTGTCCCATTGTGGCATCATCTGGCATCATCCCTGTTCTTTTGAATGCCGGATTCTTTAGGAATTACATTTCTGCCGCGACCAGAATGATACCGGAATGATGCTGCTTTCTTTTTGCCGGTAAGTTCTGGATTGAAAAGGAACCGCAATGGGACGGGGATGCGACGGGGATGGGACTGCTTTAGGCCCTGTGTGATAACGTCCTAACATGGCTATGTCTTTGAATGCTAGTTGAAAACAGTTTGTACAGAGATCCTATTGTCAATGTGGGGAAATGTACAATAAGGGGGGAAAAAACATGTTAAAAATGCACAGAGATTTCTCAATGAATGGCCTCACGTGCCCAGTCTTACAGCCCAATAGGAAACAAGTTTGGGGAGAATGAAGGATAATAAAATAGAGGAGATCTCCACATCCCATACCTTGCATCTAGAATCTGGGTGACAAACACATTATGCTTTAAGCATGCAACACTATACTCACTTTCTTGGGAGAAAACACCACAGAACTCAATAGGACCTACTTCTGAAAATATATGTATAAGATTATATAGTAAACAGTAGCAATTCATCCATATTTTTAATGGATGCAATTCAATGGAAAGTACTGCAGAAAATCCATTGAAATGAATGGGATCACAGGCTCCATTCATTGCAAGGGCATTCCAATGAATTGCCCCTTCAGTGTTTATTACCATAGGCAATGGGAATGATTCTTGTAGCTAACACCTCATTTCAGTCTGAAATAACCAACTTTCAAACAATTCCAGCTGACTTTAATTTAAAATAAATGTCTTTAGAATTGAGGTGTTTTGAGTGGAAATTGTGTTTAATGAGTTCAAGTTCAGCCTTTTTGAAACAAACACCACCACACCATCCAAAGTTTATAGAAAAGCACAATTTATTCACTCTTGCTAGCATATTTGTCAACATGTGCAACAGGTCTGGCTTCTCTCTGAAAAATCAGCATCAAACGCTAAGGAAGGAATGCAAGTGAAATTATCTGAGATGGTATATGATTCATATCAAGGCAGCAGATGCAGAAAAGAGCATGGCCATATCTAATTAGCCCACAGCCATAACTACTTTAAATAGAACCCAGTCCCACTGAAATTAATGGGATTTCCATCTCAGCTAATGTGTTTGCAATAAGGATGCAATGAGGGTATTATATATATGGATGCATATATAAAACCCAAGACGTTTTACACAGAAGTTAAACTGCCTCGGCAGACGGCTAATTGAGCCGTCTTCCGGGCAGGGAAGAGGAGGGGCAGCCGCACGAGTGGCGCCCCTTCCTCTCCCCGAGGTCGCCCCCAGAAGCGCCGGCCGTCCGCACGGCCGGCGCACCTGGGATGACCTCACGGCACAGCGCCCACATGCGCTGCGCTGTTTGAGTCAGGGAAAGTGCACCCGCTGCTTTTAGGGCGCACTTTCCCTTAAATCTAAAAGGAGCGCCAATTTGGTGCTCCTTTTAGATGCGCCGCAAGAGCGCCGCGGTCCGGAGGCTGAACTCCGGCGGCGCTCCGGACCAGGGCGTCTCCGACGCCCTGGTCTGCATCCCCCCAGGTCTGTGTTTTACATCCTGTTCAGAAAACACATTTTCACTCATTCCTTTTTCAGGAGTCTGTGATACCTACTGGAGGCTTTGCCATTGAAATGTGTACAATATTCATAGGATTATTATCATAAAGATACATTTTACTTGCCAGAATATAATGACTGATTTGACTGAATTAACTGAAGAAACATGGAAACAAATAACTGATTCAGACTAATTACCCAAGATGTTACTATGTTCATCTATGTTCCTGCAGCCTACAGCCTATGTTACTGCAGTCTTGAGCACTGAAAATTCTACTATAGGACCAGATTATGAAATAAATGTAATTTTACCCCAGCTTTGAGAGGGAAGAACAGCCTGATTTAGGCCACAGTCCTTTTGTCAAAACAGGAAGTGATCATCCAGTGTCTTTTGGTTTGGAAAAGAGGCCCATATTAGCCTAAATCAGATAGGGGAAGCAAAGTGACCCATGATATCCTTTGCAGGCCTTGTAGGATGCTATTGTCATTTTGATGAAAAATGGTACACAAATTGGAGTTGGGGGGAGAGATGTAGATTGGAAGCTCCACACCCCCTGCAATTTTCTGGCCACCAACTTCTGCCCTGGTATAAGGCATAATTAATGAAAAGCTGATCGTGATTAAAATTGCATATCTAAACTTTCTTGGAAAGTTAAGTCCAAGTGAACTAATCAAGCATTGACTGCTTTCCTCTTGGACAAATAGTAGGTAATGGGGAGGGGGTTTCCCAGATCAAACGTAATGGGTTAAATATTATTTCTCACTCCACTCCCTGCTGTAGTCTCCATCCAAATCTTGTCCCCTTGCCCCTCAGCAACTGCTGTTTATTATATAAAGTCAAACACTTCATAGCCTATCATGTCCTCAATGTGCTTTCTGGTTTGGCCTTAAGGGGATTTCTTTCCCTTGTTATAAAGTGTTTTATTTCATACTATGTGGCTATGATGCTATATACATTTCTGTGGACTTAAGTTAACTTGAGCAAAACTAAATATATGGATACATACACATAGC